TGATCATAGTTCACTGTAACCTGGAACTCCTGAGCTCAAGTGATTCTCCTGCCTCAGTCTCCTGAGTAGCTGGGAATATAGGAATGTACCCCCATGCCTGGTTCATTTTAAAATATTTTGTTGAGACAGGGACACACTATGCAGCCCAGGCTTGTCTTGAACTCCTGGCCTCAAGTGATCCTCTCTTCTTGACCTCCCAAAATGCTGGAATTATAGGTGTAAGTCGCCACACCAGGCTCTGTGACATTTTGTTATAGCAACCCAAGTAGACTAATCAAATAAGATCCATAATTTTCTTCATGTTGGTCCTATAATCTTCTTTTTTTCATACCAAAAAAGCAAAGGCAAAGATCCTGTAATTTTCTTTTAAAATGATTCTAGGCATTTTATAATCTTTGTTGTAATTATAAATGGATTTTCCCATTTCTGCTTTTAATTAGGCAGTGCAGAGTAAAGCTGCTGGTTTTTGCATATTTATCTTGTGACCTGTCAATTTCCAAATGTTCTTATTAATCCTAGTGGGTTGTTTTAGTAGAATCTCTTGTGTTTTCTTGGTAAGCAATCATATCATCTGCAAATAATAGAATTTCTTTTCTTCTTTTCCAATATTAACAGATGATTTTCTTTTCTTTTCTTATTATATTAGTTAAAAACTAAATAATACTGTTGAATGATAGTGATAATGGAGTGGTCTCGACTTGCATCGATTAAACATGACTTCAGAGCCTTATCAATTAACGTGAAATTTGTTGTTAGATTTTTTGATAATTTTTAAAAATCATATTTCAGTAGTACCCTTTTATTCTCACATTACTTAAGATCTTATTTGCCTGGTGTGCTGGCTCACATCTATAGTCCCAGCCTTTTGAAAGGCTGAGGAGGGAGCACTGCTTGAAGCCAGGAGTTCAAGACCAGCTTGGGCAATATGGTAAGACCTCATCGCTACAAAAAATAAAAAAAATAAAGATAAATAGTCCCAGCTACTGAGGAGGTTGAGGCAGGAGGATCGCTTGAGTCCAGGAGTTTGAGGCAACAGTGAGTCATGACTGCACTAATTGCACCAGCCTGGGTGAACAGCTACTATAAACAGAGACTAAAGTCAAACAAAGCATAAATTCAAACAAGGAGAAAAATATTTACCATCCATTTAATATCCCTAGTATATAAAGAATACCTATAACTCAATAAGAGAAAGCAAGCAACTTAATAAAAAATGAGCAATGGATTTGAACAGGCACTTTTTAAAAGAAGAAATCTGAACGATCGATCAATAATATATATTTAAAGGGATAGTCAAATGTGGAAGTTAAAACAATCAAATATCATTTCATTCATCATATTGTCAAAATTATAAATATCAATACTATTCATGGCCAGCAGGGATGCAGGTAAATGAGAGAATGTAAATGACTAGCTCACTTTAAAATGTAGTTTGAGTGTCTATTGAAATTAAAAAAAAAAAAGAAATGTAAAACACATAGCCCCACTTTTGAAAACTTACCCCACAGAAATAATAGTAACAGTATACAAGGTTATACATATAAAATTTAGACATCTCCGTATTGCTTGCAGTGGTAAAAAGCTGGAAACAGTCTCGATGGCCACTGATAGGTGAAAAATTAAATCACAATGCACTGTACTTTGGGATTTTATTCAGTCACTAAAATAGATAAGCAAAATCTATATTCATTGGCTTGGAGGGCAAAGTAATGGATAAGAGCCTATTTTTGCTGTAAAAACAAAAGCCAAAAACCAAAAACCCACCACCACCACCACCACTAAAAACCCAGCCTTTTACCAAGTATATGCTTGTAAAAACAGAGAGAAAAGGTTTTAGAGACGATGGCAAGTAGAAGAGACTTTTCTTTTTCATAGGCCTTTGAATTAACTTGCTAAAAGATGTCATGTATTCTTATGTAATTAGAAATTAACAAAGAAAATTTAAAGGAGGGAAAAAGGAACTTTCAGGAACATCAATCCATTCCACTTGATTGCTCTGTGGATTGAAAAGTTCATGGCTCCTGTCTATTGATTTCCCCTTCCTCTTCCATCAGGGCCCAAGAAAGTAAATGGGGAGGGTTGGGATGAGGGAAGATTGGAAGCAGCAGATGTGTCAGCCCAAGGGCAGAGAGATGGGGAGAGAGAGAGGGAGGGGGAGAGGGAATGGGAGAGGGGAGAG